TCCTCTTAATTCTTCTCCATTTTCTTTTTTCTCTTCAGCTGCTCCCTGCTTAGTCTTGCTCTGTTCACCCTCTGCCCCATCTTTTCGCTCTTCAACAGGTGAATCTGTAATGGGCTTCATATCTGCAATGAGGAAAGTCCAAAGGAAAAGATGAGTACTTCAGAAAGCGGGTCGGAGCGAAGGCTCCGTGCCTTGGAGGGTAGGTGAACCGCGCCGTCTGCTTGTCTCTCTGGGAATGTTTGCTTCTTAAAGATCTGTAAAGCACTTCTCTGACCCAGATACTGACCAGGCTTTTCCTCTTGGTTCTCCAGTTTGACTCCCGGGCTGAGGAAACGGTAGCTGGCACCGTTCCGAGGCTTCGCATCACGGGAACCCTTCTGTTCGTCCATCTTGGTCGCGCCGTCGGTTCTCGAAGCAGCACTGCTCCCAGAGTTCCGGAAGAACCAGAGGCCAGCGCGCGCTCACCCGCGCCGCGCTCGAATGTGATTGGCAGGAAACGTTTTTTTCTTCCTGGCAACGACACCAAGTTACACTGTATCCAGACGTACTCGCCCTCTTTTGGCGGGCAGGAAGGCATGTACTAGTGCACAATTTGGGCCTGCAAGGTTCAGTTGAACTGGCTATTCCCCGTTGGAAGTATCTTTCTAGGGAAGGAGGATGTGCTGAACTGTACAAACTAATTTGCACGAAGCAGCAAGCCATGAGCTCAGAGCCTTGGGCAACTAGGTGGAGAATGCATCTTACCCTAGGCTTGTGCAACCCAGCAGCTAGTATTCAGAGGGGAACAGGAACTAAACTAGTATGATTGTTTCAGAGGCACCTTGTTCTCAATTTTTGCAGAGGCTGAAGTCAGAGCCCTCCATGCTTTCTGGGACTGCACGAACATGAGCTTGGAGCCGTTTTAGACAGCTGTTCTGAAGGATACACTTCGCAAAACAAGAGGTACTCTCGCTCAAGCAATTGTAGGTCAGAATGCAAGAGCACAAACATGCACTTTATAGCAACACAGACTCTCTGGGGTATTTGACCCTTAGTCCACCATTTTGTTCCCTGTAACTTTTGCTGAGTTTCTTACTACACACCCTGCACCCAACCACACCTGTTCCCTGTCCTGAACTATTAATCTGGAATCAGGTGGAATTTTCTCAGTTAGTGTTCCTTTTTCCATTTTCCTCTGCTTTTCTTTTCTTTTTTTTTTTTTTTGGAATCGGGGATTGAACTCAGGCCCTTGCCTTTGCCAGGGAAGTGCTTATTTTACTGAGCCATCTCCCCGGTCCACCTCTGCTCTTTTTCTAAATATTTTCCTGAGCTTTTGCTTAGGGACACGTGTTATCTATTGTTATGAAAGAAGGTCCAGGACAGATTGATTGTTCTAAATTTGTTCCCTTAACGAATGTTTGTAGATGCTGCTGAGTATTGAGATACCTTTTATTAACAGTGGAAACTTATCCTTGAAAATGTTGTGGTTATCCCATTTTAGCCTGCATGACCACCTTTTTCACTGGATTTTTGTATTTTAGGGAGGGGTCTACAGGGTGTTCAGGGTCTCAATACTAGATTCACTTGTAGTGAGCCACCTGTTTACAGCCTCCCAAGAGCTGGGATCACAGGCATGTGACATTACATCCAGCCTCAACTGCCTTCACAGAGCACCTGGGGGGGGGCAGCACAGCATGCCTGGGGATCGAACCCCCGGCCCCTGTGTCAGCTTGCAGGTGCTTTAATCTGCTAAGCTATTTGGCCAGCCAGCTGGATTTATTTTATATTGGAAATTAAACCATTTTTGTCGGCCCCTAATTTATAATAGCTTCTAATCAATTCATCTACTATGCCTAAATGACAAGAAACCTTGAGATGGAAAAATGAGGCCCAACCCTGCCCTTTTCCCTTTAACTGCCAGCCAGCACATCAGTCATCCCCTGGTAATTTACCTTTCCTTTCAATAAATATAAAACCTTGGTGAAATAAAGTTCTGTCTTATCCTGTGTGATTCTGGGAAATTGAGACATTGATGTATGATATTATAAACATGCTAATTATGACAAGGAACACCCCATTCTTGTGCAAGCAAATAACCTGATATATGAGGGCATGCTGCTATTTGGCCCTTAAGGGTTTATGTTGTAGAAGTTTGGTTCTCAGTGTGACATTGTTGAGGTACTGTGGACCTTTGGTGGGGCCTAGTGGCAGGTCCTTAGCTCATTGGATTCACTGAGAAAGAGCAGCTTACTGCTTGGCCTGTTGATGGAGATTGTAAAAAGAAGTGACAGAGAATAATTTGCATATAATTGAGTTCTTTTATCCTTTTCTCTGTATCTTTTCATTCCCTATTTATCTTTTTTTCTGTATTTTAGGGAAGGGTCTATAGGGTGTTCAGGGTCTCACTACTAGATCAGACTCATAGTGATTCTCCTGTTTACAGCCTTTCAAGTGCTGGGATTATAGGCACTCGTCATGACACCCAGTCTCAATTGTGTCGCAGCGCGCCCCGGGGGTGGGGCGGCACAGCAGTTCGCGGGATTGAACCCCTGGCCCCTGTGCCTGTTTGCAGGCATTTTAATCTGCTGAGCTATTTGGCCAGCCCAGATTTATCTTTCAATTTAGATTTTATTATCAATTTTCCCAAATAGTGAAACAGCACGTGGCATTGTAATTTAACACAATATAAATATAATATAAATACCCTTTGTGTGTGACAATCATTCCCAAAACGACTGTTTTAAGTTTTACTTTGGGAGTTCATAAAAATTTACACTCTTAAAGTGACTTTTATTAAAGCTATCAACAAACAGGTTACTTTAGACCAATCTTAGTGTAAGAGACCTCAACTCCATGGACTTAGGAACTTTTGTGAAGGAAAGAAACCCTATTGGCCTCTCTATCTTTGAGCTAGAGCAATGTCAACATCCTTTTTACTTAGGGTAATATGCTGGGATTTCTAGTTTGAGAAGATCGTTCAAAATTTAATATTGAAACTTTTAACATCAGGCCTCCACCGAAACTGCATTTTGAGTGGAAAGAACAGAGTGTGAAAAATAAAAATTTGTGGAAGACCAAAACTATTCTACAAAATACATAAATAATAATGGCTCTCCATGAATTCACCAAAGTGTCATAAAAGAACAGAAGGCAAACTTTATAAACAACCACTTCCATTTACTGACAGAAACAGCTAAAGACCTAGTGCTGGGACATTAGCCCACGGGATTAGATATTATAGACAAAAAAGTTCATGCTAGGGCTAGGGAGATAGCTCAGTAGAATAAGCACTTGCCTGCAAGCACAAAGTCCTAGAAGTTCAATCCCTGGTACTGCAAAACAAAACAAAACAAAACAAAACAAAAAAGAACTTCACTGTAAAGTGTGTCCTTAGCCGATACTAAAATGGATATACCAGTACACTCTTGAAAGAGTTCCCAATACTTAGTAGTTTGCCAAACACAAATGAAAACATGCACCGATTTTCACTCCACCACCCAGCTTTTCCTGGGTTTACACCAAACTTATGCTTTGTGTGTTTGTCTGCCTGTACATACCAAATGTACAGGATGCATAGTTTGTTGGCATGCAGACTTAGTGCTTAAAAAAAAAACTCTTCCTAAGAAAACTTCTAGCAAGCGCAGGGAGCAGAGTTCTATTCCTGGTCCTGCATGCTGTGCCTGCCATGCCACAAGGGTGAGCTGAGCCAGCTACTGAGTCCAGGCGTGGTGGCGCACACCTGTAATCCCAGCGCTGGGGAGGCTGAAAACAGGAGGATCAGTACAAGTCGGAGCTGTGTAGTGAGACCCTGTACCAAATACATAAAAAAAGAAAAGAAAAAGGAAAACTTCCAAAATTAATCAGAAGGGCATGGTATCCCACACCTGAAATCACAGCAGAAGAGCTGAAGCAGGAGGATTATCATGAGTTCAAGGCCAGTATGTGAAACTAAGTTCAAGTTGAGCCTGAACTACACAAACAAATAAATAAATAAATGCATAAATAGATAAATAACACATTCTTTCACTCTACTTTTAAAATAATTATGGCATATGATTGTCTAATTTCAAAGGTTACAAAGCCAAAAATCCCAGTATTACCTGCAGACTAGTTGAGGAACATTGGATACTTGACTATATGTTTATGTTTTCTGTCCTTGCTCTGAAAACACAGGATTTAACATTTTGAGGTCTCATCTTTCTCATCTTTCAGGAGGTCTTGAGCATGGGGGGTGCAAGGTGTTAGGCATCAGGTAACAAAGAGAGACCAGTTACAGTTCTGAGCCTGGCACCCAGAAAAATCTTATGGGGTCACCATGGAAAACTCCCACTTCCCACAGATGCTAGAGGCCTAGCAGTGCTGACCTCCAGTGTTCTCCACTGGAGAAGGGTGCCCTGTGATTCTGTGGGAACTGCTGCGTAGGCTGACTTTCCAGCCATGGATTCTTTACAATGCAGAAGTGCCTTTCTGTACCTGGCTCACACCAGGAGAGTCACAAATGCTAGGGGATCTTCAGGGAGCTGGGAAGGCTCTGCTTTCAGCCTCGCTGCAGGAAGCCAGGACCAGCAGGTCCTGGGGGCAGTCCCTTGGAGCCCTTGCTGTGTGCAGACAGTGCAGCCTAGAGGATGTGGTGGAGGGAACAGTATCCAAGCCTTCCCACAACAGATGCCCTGTCAGTGTGAGTTCTTATCCTCCCCCCACTTCCCACTCAGCTTGCAGGCCTCCCCAGGCCATTATCTCTGGGACCCAGGGACCCGTGGGCTCTCTGAGGGCCACCTTGGGCCCTGTCCTCTCCAGGGTCTGTATTAGGGCTTCTCTTCTGCCCTAGGCTCTGCTGGAGTGCCCTTCCTCAGTTAACCAGGAAAGCCCCTTCCTGATCTCTTAGGTAACGGAATAGGCCACGCCCCTTTCAACGGTCACAATGGTTGGTCCACTCGCACTTCCCAGGTGACCAATAAGAAGACAAGACGAGGAGTGGCTCCGCCCTTCCCACAGAACTCTCACTACCTCTTGGCTTTGGAGATTCTGATCAGCAGCGGGTAGACTCAGCTAGGGGTCTGATTTCTCTAGGTTGTTGTCCTGTGGCAGGGAAAGCCGTACTCAGCCTGGACTGGGTGCCCAAGGGGCATAAGACGGCCACTCCAGGAAAAGAGCAGCGACGCCCTGTTTCATAAACTGAGTGAGTACTGTAACATGCAGCAGTACAAACAAGAGAGCCCAGATATGGTAGAGGTGAAGTCGGAAGCTGATAGACAGGGGAATGCTGATGTCGAGAAGCCGGGGCCGGATCAGCAGCAGCTGACTCCTGCGCTGGCTCTCGTGCCGGCTGCTGGGCCACAGCCTCCGCGGAAACGACCTCGAATCCAGTACACCCTCACGCAGTCGCAGCGGCAGAAATTGGAAAGTGTTTTCCTGGAAAATCAGTACCCTGACGTGTATATGAGGTCAGTCGCTCCCTGTGGCCACACCGAGCCTCAAGTGGTCAGGTTCATTTCCAGATCAATCCCCTCCCTTCTCGCCAACCCTGAGGAAAGCCCTCACCCTGCCCCTGCTCCTGACCCTGCCCTGCCAATTCCCTGCCCTACTCTGCCCTGCCATGCCCTGCCCCTACGCCTATCCTTAACGGAGACGTGATATTCTGGGGATAAAGGTCCATATTGTCACATCCTCAAATCGAGAACTCTTCTGAAGATGGGCTTCTAGCCACAGATGATTTCCTTTCCAATTGTGGCAGATGCACAGAAACATACAATCTCCTCTGGGACCCACGATTGAACTTCAGCAGGGTGAAGCATGGCGTGCTTTTGTCCAACAAATTTGCATAATGTTCTTTGTCTTCCTAAACTGAAGTTCATGCCCATTCACCCTGGATGCTCCTTCACTGCAGGCCAGGATAAGCACCACTGTTTGCATTCACTCAACCACTTGGACACTTTGCAGTTATCAGGGGGCTTGATAAGTAACAATAAAGCCAGGACATACTCGCTACTTGTCTTTTAACTATAATGCACAATCCTGAGAACTGACCATTTTCTCTCTGCAGGAGGGAACTTGCAAGACGACTGTATGTGGCTGAAACTAAAATTCGGGTCAGTGCATCTGAAAAAATGTACTTGATATGGCACTCACTCTAAAACACACTTCCAGATGTAGAAGCTTTGTGCTAGATAAGTTGAAGTGGGTGTATTTTTGCTGTCTTTTCCTTTTCCTTGGCTGACATGCTCTGCACTGCATGGGCAATCCAAGAACTATGTATCCAAGATAGACATGTGTGGTTACATAAATGTGTAATGCATAGGTATGTCTGCAATATGTATATTTCAAATTTCTCTTTCTTTTAGGGTGGGAATGTTTTAGGGGGGACCTCTGTATGCAGTCCTGTTGGGGCAAAGTCTGAGCAACCCTCACAGCCCACAGCATAGAGGAGTAATAAGCACAGGGCTTCTTCTGTGCAAATCAAAGGGCAGTGGCCTGTGAAGTGACATGACGTTTCTCAGGGTGACAGCAAATTTTCTGTGCACTAACCCCATGCCTTTTGTCCTCTCATTGCAGTCCTGGTTCAAGATTCGGAGAGCCAAATATAGGAAGAGTCAGATGGAAGCAGTGAAAGGAGATGCACCACGTGCTGTCCAGCATGAAGGTGATGTCCTGAAGCTCTAGCAAGTTCTCCTTCTGAGACCACAGAAGATTGATTTTCCCTCACTTACCAGTGCACATATATCTTTTCAGCACTTACATTAGCAATAAAGTAGTGAGGTCTCATATGCTTGTTTTTCTGACTCTTTTAGAGTGGTAGTGTAAATTGATGGGGTAATTCTATTCATCCAAGAATATGAGGTCTCCTGGCAGGAGAGGACTTCCCCAAGTCAACAACTAGTGTCTTAGACAGCAGTCTTCTAAGAGCCTTGGTGAATTCAAAAGGCCCTTCATTCATTCCCTCTCCCTCAAACCCAACCATGCGTCCTCACCTGTGCACTGTCATTTGGGAACAGAAGTGAGTGCAAGAAAGGCTGGGGCAGGGTCCTGGTGAGAGGACACCATGTGCTCACAGGGCCGGGTCTCTTCCATACTGAGAAGGTCAGTGGTGACCCTGCACTAGGAGACCAGCTCCCCAAGAGGCTGCTCCTGGTGAGGGGAAGGAGGCAGGTATACAGCAGTCTACTGTGCTCCAGGTCTGCTCAGCGTCTTCCTAACTGGGGAGCATGTAGGTTGCTGGGGGTGCTTCTGGGGCCGAGGTCCTGCTGCCCCAAGAGTACCAGAGCAAGCCATCTCTGGGAGCCCAGAGAGGCTGGAGTACCTTTCTGTCCCTGCAAGCAGGCACAGGGGCCAGGGGTTTGATCCCAGGGTCTGTCTTGCCAGCCCCACCCCTGGGGCATGCTTTAATGGCAATCGAGAATCGGCATAGTGGCTCATGCCTGTAATCCCAGCTCTTGGGAGGCTGCAAACAGGTGGATCATAGGGCCAGGAAGATTGCTCAGTGGAATAAGTGCTTGCCTGCCAAGCACAGGGTCCTGAGTTCAATCCCTGGTATTGCCAAAAACAAACAGGTAGATCACTATGAGTCCGATCTAGTAGCGAGACTGAACACCCTATAGACCCTTCCCTAAAAAAATCTTGCTTTGGGGGTCCCCCACACTCCCCACACTCCTCTAGTCTGGCCCACTCACAGTCCAGCCCAGCCCTCATAATCTCCAGCTCAGCTCCTTGGAAACATTTCTGGGCCTGTGCACAGCACCCCCAGCATGTGAGGGGCCTGCAGGTGAGTGCAAAGGCAGAACCTCTGGGATGCAAGTTCCTCCTTCCCCTCCTTCCCAGGGGAGACCTTTTCCCTACATGACTGCAGATGAAATCCTGCACAGGAAGGAGGATGACCTTCCTCTCACAGCACAGCCACAAGAACCCCTCTCTGGCTTCTGCTGGTGCTGTGGCCACTGCTCCTGGACACACAGAGTGGAGTCATGGGGCACATTAATGGACTACAATTTTCCTGAAGTCCTCCTCCATTACAAGAAACAGCCCAGGGAGACCCAAAAACAGGGTGCAACAATTTAACACATTTCCAAAATAACAGACAGTCACTTGGCTTAAGTTTTGAAGGAAAAAAAAATACAAGGGCTGGGGTTACATTGAAAGGCAAACAATGCATGCATTTCCGATAATCACTTCCTATGCAATACTTAGGACATGTTCACCCTAAAGCATCCTCCACATTTACAGTAAAAGAACTTCCTGTTGTTTATCTCTGGTTCAAATGTACCCTAGCATCCTGTGTTTTTCTTCTTTTGTTTTTTCACCACTGGGGACTGAACCCTGGGAATTTGACCTGAGCTAGATGCAGTGTAGGTGTTACATTTTTATCAAGAAACAGGTTTTAACAAATTTTCTAAGTTAGTCAGGGTGGTCTTGCACTTCTGATCCCCCTGCTGCAGCCTCCCAGAGTGCTAGGCCTACCAGGGTTGGGGGCCACAAGCAGGGCTGTAACATTTTTTCTAACTTTCCCAAGCTCCGTGCACCTCCTAAAGAGAAGTTACAAAATGCACTTCTAGTGACTCCTGGGCCAGGTGCCCCCTAAAGCTTGATTTCTTACAAAGTGAGTGGGTTTCAGTTTTGATGAGGAGATTAGCTTTTTGCAGTGTTGGTCAGTAATGTTCCAGGAGTTGAAACATAGGATAACATAAGATAAATTGTTTATCTTTGGTCTTCATACTGAATTATAAACCTCAACCCCCTTTATTTTATTATTGTTTAGGCAGGGTCTTACTAAGTAACCAAGCTCTGGGTTCACTATTGATGATCCTCCTGCCACAGCCTACCACAATGCAGGATGTCCAGGGCTGCCCTGACTACCCTATGATTTTTATGTCCTTATTTAAGGTTACATTGGGTGTGTGAAACATAACTACATACACTGTGCTCTTATTAAATTCTTTTATTGTGTTAGCTTGTGGAAGTTTTTCTGCAAACCTTCACCTATATCAGTGTGCAGGGTGTAATTATAAATGATGGGGCTGGCTGTGCTGTGATGTTATTTCCTTGTGTGTCTCTTCTGTCCAATGAGGTCTTACTTTTATGCAGGGGAAGCAGGAGGGGCTCTACTGTGGTGCAGCTAGTGAGGAGTATCCCAAGACCTGAGCAGGTAGTGTGGGCATAAGAGATGTGGTCTTTGGAGATCTTTGAACAGAGTCTCCAATGAATCTTTGGTGAAATGCAAAGAGTTGGATATTGTGGCTGAATTAAAGACCGGGCAATGAAGGCCTGGCAGGATAACTCAGCGGACTAAGCTCCTGCTTAGACAAGCACAAGGACCAGGGTTCAATCCCCAGCACCACATGCTGCCCTGCCCCTGCCCTGCAATGGGCTGAGCCAGCAACAGAATGCAGGCTTAATGGTAGATGCCAGTAATCCCAGGGCCAGAGAGGCTAAAAGCAGAAGGATCACTAGGAGTCCAAGCTGCAAAGTGAGACAAAGTGAGACTGCTTACCAATGACTCAGTGGTCTAAAGCACCTACTTAGAACAAGCCAAGCAAAGCACAGGGACCGCGGTTCGATCCTCCAGCACCACATGCCAGCCAGCCCAGCCCCCTGGGGGGCTGAGCTGGCCACACACACACACACACAACAAATAAATAAATAAACTTTAAAAAAAAAACAAACACATTTTTAAAAAAGAGCAGACAATAAGTCATTGGTGATAGTGCACCAAGGAGTGCTTTGCCTTGGGAAGGCTCCACTGGTATGGCTGCTCTACACAGCTGTAGAGCAGACTAACAGTTGTAGCTGCATGCTCATTGCTCGTGGGTCTTTGAATTGAAAGTGGAATTACTTGTGGGAGTTACACTACTGATACAAATGCAATGGATGGGGAAATAAGAAACACTAATGAATATTATTTGCTTAGCCCTTTGTGGTTTCAAGCAATACCTGAAGCGGTGAGTTGAATGTTGGAGAGAGTCTATGGGTGGCTCTTCCTAGTGAAACAGATTCTGTGAGAGTCGATGCCATGCAGTGATGTGGGTCTATTTTTATACGCTGGTAAATGGTGAAGAATCCATAAAGGGCAGAAACGTCTGAGGCATTTCAACACAGTTTCACTTCTTGGTGGCAAGCCATTAGATTCAACCCCATTGCCAAGCAAAGCCTAGAATAGTTATGGTTCATGCAGAAATTGCAAGGACAGGGTGTATGATTATGTGAGTTTATGACAGTGACACTGGTAGAGATAAGGAAAGCCACACACATGCTGCCCATAGTGAGGCACGGAGCTGAGGTCACTCAAAGGTGATTATTTCTGCTGACAATGTTCAAGGTCAGAAAGCTGGATGCCCCTGACTGTGAGGATGATGTGTGTGCTGGACCCAGGTGCTAGGGGGCGATGAGGGCCCTGAGCAGCTCTCCAGCACCAGCTTTGACTTGCTTGAAGTATCAGTGGTGCAAACTTTGGAGAAGCCTACTGTGAAAGGGAAACTGCTTGATTTTGAGATCTTCCTGCCTCTCCCTCCCAGAGTGCTGGGGTTACCTCCTCAGTGTCTACATCAGGGTTTCATAGTGCTCAGTACACGAATCTGTCAACTCTTTGGTTAAAATATATATAGTTTTGCCCCTGCCATATTTCCTAGCTCTTCTCCTTGCCCTTTCTTTGTTGTTTAATCCTTAAGCTCTCGCTTTCCATTTAGTTGTGTTATATATTTCAATTTTTATTTTTTCTTTTGAGTTCTTAAACTAGGGAGACAATACAATATTTATACATGAGGGTCTGGTTTATTTCACTTATGAGTATATCTTCAAGTTGCATTAACTTATATATGAAAACTTCATCCATTCCTCAGGTGACAGGCATCTTGGTTGTTTCCAAGATTTGGCTATCACAAATTGTGTTGCTATAAACATAGGTACACATATATCACTATGATATGATGTTTTCAATTCTTTTGGGAAAATTCCAAGTAGGAGGATAGCTGTTTTGAATGGCATATCCAGTCCTAGTTTTTTAAGGAGTCTCCACACTGATTTCCACAATGGTTGCACCAGTCTACATTCCCACCAGCAGTGGAGAAGGGTTCTTTTTTTCCCCACAGCCTCTTCGACATTTGTTGTTGGTTCATTTCTTTATGATAGCCATTCTTTCTTGGGTGAGATGGTATCTCGGTGTTGTTTTAATTTGCACTTCACGAATGTGGAGCATTTTTTCATGTATTTATTAACTTCTAGAATTTCTTCCTCTGAGAAGTATGTGTTTATTTCAGATGCCCATTTCTGGATTGGGCTTGTTTAGTTTTGTCAGAGATGGGTATTCCCTTGCCATGTAAATATTTTAGGTGCATGAATTCAGCAAAACAGTCCAATATAGTCCAGTAGTCCATAACAGTATTGGGTTATCCACAGAACTGGCAATGTCAGAAGTTGTTGACTTGAGCCTTTTACAGACAGCTCAACATATTAATATGGCTTTACTTGTCATACCTCATTTTTTATTTTTCTGCTGTATGGTTAAGACCAAGATAAAACAAGACCTTTATGACAAAACATGTAACTTTTGTATCTGCCATGGTCAATCAAATCAGGATTTATCCTGAAACCCTGTACTGCAGTTTGCAGATTCTTTGTTAGTGTCAGCCATGTGGATGAGTCACAGCCATTGCTTGACCAATTTGTTTTCTGTGAAATCCTGAGAGAATGTTTTCTCTCCAGGTGACTCTCCTTAGAC